ATAGAATGCTTGACTCACTTGTAACTATAGGAGGCAAATATTTAATATCTGATAATAAACTATTTTAAAAATCTGAGATGAATTCTGTATAGATTCTCAAAGGAAAAGTATCCCATAAATTCAGGATGTACTGTGTCATTGCTATTTGATCATCTTTGGAACTTTTGTTTTAGCCACATTTCATTCACTATATAAAACTTTTTTTGTGATACCTAGTTGTTCTACTTCCTTAACCAACCATTTTGACAATTTTCAAATATATCCATAATCATTTGAAAAAATTATTTGATTACTAAGATAGTCTTCTACTTTTAAAAAAAATGTTTTTTAGTCTAAGACTAACAATTCTTATAAACTATCATTTGAGCATGAAAGTTTCCATTTTTCTTCATATTTTGACTAGAGACCTAGAGGGTTTGGGGTATTTGCTTCCCTTCAAATAAAAAATAAGAAACTTTTCTCAAAATAGGTTCAATTTGAACTTCAGCTTGTTCTTTTTTTCAGACAATATTAAGCAACAAAAGCCAAAACTGCTCCACATAGTTTTCTCTTTCCTAGCTTAAGGAGAAACTGCTTTGACACCTCACATACTCCGAGTTTAAGAAGTTAGCATTATCTGAGAAGTCACTATTTTTAGGTCTAGCTGTAATGTTTCTAACTTTGGTACTCAGAGTAGTGGGTGCTTCCTTTCCCAGAAGGCTCTGTATTCTCAACATGTGCAGGTCAATTTGACTGAGAGCTAACTACCAGGAGCGGCAGGCCCCTTGCAGCCTGTGAGTTTCAGACTTGAAAATTATGAGAAGGTATTGGAGGCCACAGGCTATATTTGGGAACCAGCTGCATGTCAGGACAAGCATGGGTTGTGGTTCCCGGAGGCTGGGAGAGCACAATGCTTGAATTTAATTTCTTTGGAAGATAAGAAGAGAAGAATTTCCTTCTGCCTGACAAATTACACTAGTGACAACTGAGGAAATCTGTCTTCAGAAGTGTGCTGGACAGTGGCAGAGTAAACGTTGACTTTTCAAAGATGATGATCAAGGAAACCTCTCTCCGAAGGGATCCGGACTTAAGGGGAGAGTTAGCTTTCCTGGCAAGGGGCTGCGATTTTGTTCTCCCATCACGGTTTAAGAAGCGCCTGAAGTCATTTCAGCAGACACAGGTTTGAAACTTGGGTATTTCTTTTAAAATAGTTTTATTACTAATAAAACTACCAGTGAACTAACTCAAATAATTTTATAGCTCCCTTGTATCTTGATATTAGATCAAGGAATTAATCTGTGTCCTCTATTCAGCTATTTGCAGAAAGCTATTTGCAGAGGGATTCCAACAGGTTTAAAAATAGACCTTCTGGACCTGGAGTACAGTACTCACATTTTTCTCTCGTCGAGAAGGAATTCAGTTTAGACAATAAATACAACTTAACAAATATTTTACGACGTCTAGCGCGGAAAATCCTAGAATTTTTCATAGAAATATCTGAAACTTTTCTGTATTAAAAGCCTTATTTGTACTTTGAATCAACAGACTGTATTAGCATACATAGGAGTACCTCTGTAATAAATGTTTACAAAGGGTATTGATCCTGACAATCCTTTTTAAAAGGAAGAAATATTTTATATAGAGACAGTTTGTGTACTGTAACGTATGTATGTTGAAAATGAAGGGTGGCAGTTTAGACCATGAAAAACTGTGAGATTGAGTTATTTTTCTACCTCTGATGAATACTTTGCAAGATGTCTGCTTTCTTGCTTACAATTTTAGAACCATTGTCCACCATTGAGTATAATACAAACCAAGGAGTATAGAAATTCTGACTGATGTCCAAATTCCAGCGGGAAACCATGGTTTCATACTTATTCTGACCCAGAATAATTTCAAATTTGGGGGGTAAACCTTATTAAATTATTTTTGGTAGGTCTGAAATTATTAAATATTGGAAATGTGCCAATGACACAGTAACATAAGGGTAACTGTGCTGATACTAGTGTTACAGTATTATTTAAAAATCCAGAATGAATAAAGAAGTGAGACTGTGTTCATAGAGAGACTGGAATAGAGAATTGAGATGCTTTACCCAGCTAATTCTACTTTAATGCCCCTCGAAATGGAACTGAAACAGCTTTGTTCAAAGTAAGCAGATGCCAAATTCGCTGTTAACTGTGTCAAAATATATATTACTAGGCTTTATTCAATAATATTTGTAAAAGATCAGTTTTATTAATTACATTAAGGTTTAAATTATTTGTGTTCTGTTGAACTCAACAGAAAGTAATTTTAATATACCTGAAAGTTGAAAATAAATGTGATCTTTTTATGTTATTTTCCTTGTAAATATTAGTATCAGTTTTATTAAATTAACCAATGACTTAATAAATAGTTGCCTATTGGTGAATTGTCCCATGTTAAGAATCACACTAAGAAAAGCAGAGTAGAATATTACACAATCAAATGTTTCCCACTCAAACAGAAGCTTCCACAGATAGGCAGCCTTTGTTCTGAATGTTATTTATTTCAAGCAAAGGCATAGAATTAGCAGTAAAAGTTCTGTACACCTCCTCCACTAATGTGTATTCATGAGACTATCATGTTTCATCCCTGCTGCCACCAGTGGTCTTAATCCTATCTTCATAACGGGCCTGAAATTATCCACAACAGCCCCGGATGTCACACCACAGAAAACATTCTGGGGAAACTAAAAAAACAGTTTCGATAATTGTCTGCTTCTAATATCACAAATCTCTTTCTGCATGGACTAATAGGAAATGGCGCTAATATAAATAAAGATAAAGCACCTAAAGAATTCCAAGCCTCATTTTAGAATTTTTATGAACACTTTCAACTGATATTGACTCATGGGATTAGGTACTAATATTTTCAGATTTAACATTAGCACAGAGAAATGTTTTCTAAAATAGTTTTATCAGTTTGTTAAAGGTGATTTGTAAACTTTTAATTGCTTTATATATGTAAATGGTTATTCATTGTTGAATCTGAAGGAACATGCCAAATTATGCTTAATCTTTTGAGAGCTCCACCCTTTGGCCTTGTCACTCATTTTCTTACATGAGCACAGATGTGGGCCAGTGCCGTTCTCTTTTTTTTAATAATTTATTTTTTTATTAATATAAGGAGCCAACACTGTTCTTAACCTTTAACCTAGGTTATATCCTATAATTCCCTTTAATCCTTATGACAACCTTATAAGAAGTAGGTACTATAATTTCTGTCTTATTACTGAAATTATAAAACATTAAATAACTTCCTGAGGTCACAGACTCTTAAGTTATCCCACTGTTTTCCAAGTTCCTAAGGGCATCATTTATTTCCCTCTGTGCTGTTGTTTCCTTGACTATTGCTTTAAATGGGACCATTGTTCAAACTTTAGGGATGGCATTAGGACAATTTAAGAAAAAAGAACATTTGAGGGATGCTTTATGTTCATGATGAATTTTAAATAAATTTAGCTGATCAGCAGTCTATCCTACATACTTTGTATAGCATTTGATGCACTATTATACTCATGGACCTTGAGAGATGATTTGGTTTTTAATTAGGAGTAGACTTGAGAGCCCTGAAAGTCTTCATGGAATATTTTTTGCTTTTTCTGCTAAGAATCTCAGAACTTCATTGGTAAAATAAACTCCTACCTTGGTGATAGTGTAGTCCCCCTCCCCTTTAACTAAATCATGGGTAATCTCAAGCCGCCCCTGTTGTTTACCTAACCTTCCCGTACTTCTCACTATCCTTTTGAATGTCTCTATGGAATGCCACATCAGATCCTTTTTGGGAAAATGAAGGACATAACCTATAAATGAGTTCATAGATGGCAAAAGAAGTTCAGCTGTGATGAAATTAATGATCATGGTCCTTGCACATTAGAGCACACCAAAAATTAGATAAAAGGGTATCTTGGGGGAAAATGGCATGCCCCAGTAGCAAGTAAATCATCCAGGTGTAGTGTTAGTTCCAGGAGTGCTTTAATTTTCTGAACAAAAATTTTCTCAGCATCAGGACTGGCAGTGATTCTACCTCAGCAAAATCAAACTGGAGAAGACAGTTTGAGGAGCCTCCCCCCCCCCCCACAGATCTGTTTCAAATCTGTATATTTGAAAACAACTTGTTTTTTCCTGTTGAAGGACAGGAAGAAATTCACAGCATGATTAAGAACAGTCTTAAAAGAATTTCCTAGTCTAGTTCTGTCAGACTAATAATGCACTTTGAGATCTTTAATGTATCAGCTGACGTTGGTCTTTTATTATTTCAAAATGTCTGCCAAAGTTAGAAGTAAGTTGTGATGTTGTATTGTGCATTTGGGTGACTGCGGGTGATGACAATGTACTCTTCCTCTCAGAACAACAGAAGGGATTTTGATTACTGTCACTACAAAGACATGATAAATGTTTGATAGGATACATACAGTTTTATGTGTATTGAAATTTTTTCTTTAATTAAAAAAAGCAATATGCCAAGTGACTGAAAAGAAAATATATCTCAGGATTTTTAAAACATAAATCAAGGGGCCAGTGTTGCAAGGAAGCGGGTAAAGCCGTCGCCTGTGACGCTAGCAGCCATGTGGGTGCCAGTCTGTGTCCTGGCTGCTCTACTTTATATCCAGCGCCCTGCTAATGGCCTGGGGAAAGCAACGGAAAGTGGCCCAAGAGTTTGGGCCCCTGCTACCCACATTGGAGACCAGGATGAAGCTCCTGGCTTCAGCCTGGTGTACCCCTGGCCATTGTGGCCATTTGGGGAGTGAGCCAGTGGATGGACCATCTCTCTCTCTCTAACCCTGACTTTCAAATAAATAAATGAATCTTTAAAGAAAAATAAATCGATGTGCACTCAGGTATTGACAGAGAAGTATTTAGTATGGGCAAGCATTTCCTAGAAACATGCTTACCGTTCTCCAGAGAGTCTTCATCTTCACTGTCTCTGTGGTTTCCTGTCCTATACTCGACTTCCTGTGATTGATGAGGAGTCTCATAATCACGTTTTCCTTCCAGATTCAAAATAAACCAGAAAAGAAACCTGGAACACCACTTCCACCTCCAGCCACCTTTGCAAGTAGTCCGCGACCTGTCTCCCCTGCTCCTCACGTGAACAGTGTTGTGAGTGCACCATTGTCCATAAACATTCCACGGTTCTACTTTCCCGAAGGACTCCCAGATACCTGCAGTAACCATGAACAGACTCTCAGCAGAATTGAAGCTGCATTTATGGATATTGAAGATCAGAAAGCAGATATCTATGAAATGGGGAAAATTGCAAAGGTAATAGAACTCCTAAGTAATGTATAATCTCCCTTTCTCCCAAGTATGTAACCTCGCACTTAAGACACCAGTTTAGAAGTCCATGTCCCATATCACAGTATCTGGGTTCAATACCCAGTTCTGGCTCCTGACTCCAGCTCCCTGCTAATGCAGACCCTGAGAGGCAGTAATGATGTCTCGAGTACTTGGATCGCTGCCACCCAGGAGGGAGACCTGGCTTGACTGCCTAGCCTAGTCCTAGCCGTTGAAGTGGTTTTAAACTCCCTTTTCCTAGCAGCCCCATTCTCAGCCTTTTCACTGCCACCTCACTCCGTTTGCATGCATAGTTTTGTTTTTTTTCCCAATGAGGAAAAATACTTTTTACTCTGTAAAGTCTTAACTATGGTCTGTTTATTGGGATATAAGCTTGAAAAGAACTTTAATGGTTCTCCCATTTAAATATAGGAATCCCTCCCAAGATATTATTAGTTCATAAATTCATTCTATACCTGAATACTTTCAGTGGCTAGAAGCTTATTACCTTTCTAGGCAACCTGTTCCACCATTAATAGCCTTGTTTGTTAAAAAATTTTTTGATTATACTGAATAGGAATTTCTTTTTTGTTCTCACCCATTGATCGTAGTTCTGCTCTGAACCTAGAAAACACCAGGATGTCAGAAGACTGTCATTTTACCCAGAAATAAGTTGGTTTGAGACTAGGAAGCAAACCTTTAATACTTTCCTCATATATAACTACTTCTGATTTAAGATCTTAATTCCTTAATGTTAAGACTGGGAGAGGATTCTTAGGTTAGTGGTTAAGACCTCTGCCGCCCATGTGGGAGACCTGTATTACATTTCCAGCTCCTGGCTTCAGCCTCAACCCAGCCCATTGAGGGCACTTGGAGAATGAAGCAGTGAATGTGAACTCTCCATCTGCCTCTCACGTAAATAAAATCTCTACTTCCAGCTTCCTCCCAGAGCAGTTAGTGCCGAGCATGGCCATCAGATGAAAGCTGATTATTCCGTTCTCCAGCTCGGCGGTGTTCAGGGATCCTCATCCCTAGAGCAGGGCTTCGTTTAGTTTGGGTTTGGTTTTTGTAGCCTGTCAGACCTCAGAATTTAGCAGTGGTTTCAGGATGAGCTTCAGGAGGCAGAAGGGTTTAGTAAGCCAAGGATGGCAAGGAGGAGACCAAGAGGAAGTGCCCACGACCCCACGCATACTTCCCTGGAAGGAGAAAGGGTTCCCCCACGTAAGGAATAAAGTTCAAAAACGTTAGAAGTACTATTTCACAGTAAAACCCAAACTTCTCTTCTCTATTCCAGGGCCTCCACAGTCTGGCCCCAGAGGTCCTTTCTGAACCTGCCCAATATTCTTTCCCATGTGAGACGTTCTTGCCCTGGCACAGGCAGCAGCCTCAGTGTCTGGACTCTCATAGCACTCCCATCCGAGAGGGGCTGCCACTCCTGCCATCCTCCCTGGCACCCAGCTTGGCAGCCTGGCTTCCATCATGTCTTCTGCAGAAGCCTCCGAAGCCTCATTCCGGGCTTGTCCTGCCCCTCTCCCCCCAACCACTGAGCTCACAGAGCATTTGTCACCACCATTAAATGGTTTTCAACTGGACTGATTTTAAAGGAAAGGAAAAGGAATTCTTTCTTCTCTTTCTTCACTCCTCCCATCTTAGAAATTGCCTGTTGATCCCTCAGATGTTTCCTATGAAAAATAAACTCCCATTTCAGAAGAAAAGACCTTCTCTGTTCCTGCTGCTTTTAAGAGGAAACTACAGTCAGAAATACGTATCTGAAGTCACAGAGCCAGTTCATGTCAGGAGACAAATCTAACTTCAAACATAGTGCCGTTCCTGTGTTGTTATCTCCCTCAATGTTCCCTAACATTAGCAAGCTCCCGATCTGAAGAGGTTACAGGTTCTTTCAGGGCACTCGAGGTTTTCATGCTTGGTTCTTTGAGAGGTGCCTGATATTTTCCAAATGAGATGGAACTTTGGATTGAAATCCAAGTGATAAAAGCAAGCAAGGGTGAATGAAATCTGCATTTGAGGGTAACATGTTAACAGCATAAATGCCAGAAAAGATATTTCTAGCATGGGAACATGTTTGTGGGTCCAGATGAAGGCAGACAAGTTCCTTGGTACAGGGCAGGAATGGCTGCATCTGGAGATTTTGCCCATCCAGTGGCGGACTTGCAGCCCACCCTTGTCTTAAATGAGTGGACTCTCTTCATCTGCGTATTCCCAGCCCACTCTCTAGTGCCTTCCCACTGCTCTGAGTCCACACCTCCTGATGGCAGCAGCCATGTCATACGTCAGAGCTTAGTGCCCTCTAACTCTCCACAGATCCAGTGAGCGGAGAGAAGAAAGCCCAGCCACGCTGATAGACAAGAGGGCGTGAGAAAAAGTGGAGTCAAGGCAGGGAAGGCGTCTCTAGGCATGAGAAACCATTTATGTGCAGTGAGGCTTAGTCCCATGTGGCAACACAGCCAGAGTTGAAGCTGACAACATGGAGAAGTTTAAAGATAGAAACTGTTTTGTGTAGCCATACTAGCCATTAACATAACAGTTTACTGCTTATACCTAGTTATCCTGTAATACAGTAGCCAGTTTATACATACAAATAACTGATTAACTTGTCTGAATTATTCTTGATTATAGCCCTAAATTCACTTCATGGCACCAGCCTTTGTGTTTACTGCTGTTAGACCTTAATTGTCAGCTCAAGTAGCAAGAAAAAGGTAGCCCATTACCTTCAGAAAGTTAAAACTAGTTTATAAAAATGAAGATCTGTGTATTAATGTATTAATGACGTCAAAGGGTTTCATGAGTAGGTTGGTTTGTACCGTTCTGTTTTGATTACTGTATCAGTTCATTTTATTGGATTTTGCCTCTTAAAAACAATTTATTTGAAAAATTGTTTTAATTATATGTTCAGCCAATTTCCATTTAATCCAGAATTTACTTAGTTGTCATCTGTTAGCACTCAGAGTCATCTTTACTTGCAACTACTGTTTATTATGGGTCTTCTTTTGCCACTTACTGACCTTATCCTTATAACAGGTTGGCATATGGAAAGGAGAAGAGAGGAAACCTTCAAAGAATAAGGAGAGGAGATTGTCAGAGCAATAAATGAATGTTTTTATGGATTCTTGTAGTTTATAAAGCTATTTGGAAGGCCAGTTTGTGTTTGCAACCTACTGTTACTGGCTCTTAAGTATAGCTATAAAGACAGGGGTCCATTTTTTTAAGTGCAGAGAAAACTCTGTGTTTATGAAATCTACATCTGTTGACGTTTTGCTCATTCATCTTGGTCCTCAGACAGCCTGGAGAGCTTAAAGCCCATGACTGGTTAAATTCTCAGTGGCAGTTTGCACATTTTCCCACAGCTTTAAGTGATAATGGAGAAGAAATGAATAGAGAATGAATCTAAGAGTTACAAAAGCCGGGGGAGGAGGGCAGCGCTGGGGCATAGTGAGTTAAGCCACCTGCTACAGCACCAGCATCCGATACAGGCTCTGGTTCAAGTTCCGGCTGCTCCATTTCCGATCTAACTCCCTGTTAATGCACCCGGGAAATCAGCAGAAGATGGTCCAAGTGCTTGAGCCCTGCACCTGTGTGGGAGACCTGGAAGAAGCTCCTGGCTCCTGGCTTCAACCTGGCCCATCCCAGGCCATTGGTAGCCATTTGGGAAATTAGCCAGCAGATGGAAGCTCTCTCTGTCTCTCCTTCTCTAAGTCTGCCTTTCAAATATATGTATATGTAAAGGATTATATATATATATTATTTATATATATAAAGGAATATATATTATATAATATAATATATAAATGAATATATATTATATTATATATTTAATATATATTAAAAAGGCAGTGTAGGAACAGAAACTGGACAGCAGAAGGCTCATCATGAGTTTTACTGGAGGAGAAAGCCAGGGAAGAGGAATGAAACCCTTCCAACCCACACACAGACCTCCAGCCCCTCTCTTCTAGCTGTTATAGCCGAGTTGGACAGACTGTGCCTTTGGCCTGCACAGCAGCCTGTCTGTACCTGAATTTCTTCATTGGCAAAATAGGGTAAAAGTACTTGAATGGGGATCCTGTGAGGACCAAATGAAAGAACAAGCATGAGACATTTTAAAATGTTGAAAGCACATTATGGGTGCTGGGTTCTAGTCCCAGTTGTTCCTCTTCCAGTCCAGCTCTCTGCTGTGGCCCGGGAGGGCAGAGGTTGGCCCAGGTGCCTTGGGCACTGCACCCGCATGGGAGACCAGGAAGAAGCACCTGGCTCCCGGCTTCGGATTGGCATAGCTCCGGCTGTAGTGGCCATTTGGGGGTGGACCAAAGGAAGGAAGACCTTTCTCTCTGTCTCTCTCTCTCACTGTCTAACTCTATCTGTCAAGTAAAAAAAAAAAAAAAAAAAAGGTGCATTACAAACATTGGGTAATCATCTCCTGTGTGTTTCAACTGGTAACCTTGTTTTCAGTTCTCTATGTTGTCTATGTTGTTGGGCCATTCTTAAATCAAATTACAGGTTCTGCTCAGGTTTTCCTTGGTCTGGTGACTTTTATTACCATACATTGACTCCTGCCTCCTCTAAACCTTAGCTTCCTAAATCCATTTTCTTTATCGCCCTGTATATCCTCACTTGTCATCCATTTCCTTCCTTTGTGTAAAGAAAAAAAAAATTTCACACTGGCTTGTTCTCTCTCCTCTGTTAATATAAGTTCTATTCTGTGGCCTTCAGATTACTATCATATACTTTATAGATTCTTACTGGTCTCCTGGCTCCCTTTATCTGAATTCTTACTTTTCTAAGCAGCTGCTAGCCAGCCATGAATTTTTAAAAAGAAAGCATCATGTCTGCAGCCCTTGCTGTTTACTGGCCTTCCCACTTTTTCCTTTGGTGTTTACTTTACTGCTACGATCTGGTGCCCTCACGCCCCCTAACACTTGGCTACTCAGGGTGCCCCACTGTGAGAAAAATACGCTGAACTTCTGCAGTCTGCCTCAAACCATTTTCGTTTGGTACCTTGAGATTTTTGCCTTTCAAGTGGTATTGTCTCCCTGTGTTACTACTGCTCGAGCGCTGACCTACCTGTCTATGCATTTTAACAGGGGTCTTCTGGAGAGAAGGCCTTAATCCCAGGGACTGAGAGCTGTTTAGTAGCGAAGTTTCCCTGCGAGTGATGCGCACGCAGCCCCTGACAGTGCTTCAGCTGAGGCTCCTGACCATTTCCTGAGGCTGAGATAGATGCTTCCAGACCCTTTTCAGTTCTCAAAGGTGAAAGTTTCTAGCACTTGGGCAAGCAGTTTCAGTCTCTCCCTGTTGTGGTTCTCCAGCTTCCATAATACAGGCTCTTCTTTCAGCTTTCCCAGCAGCTGCTAATAGCCTATCACTAAGTCTTTCTAAATATTTCCTTGGCAAAGCAGAATTCTGTGAAAGGAAGGACTGGGGTTGGGGAAGGTGGACCTGACACTTGGCTCACCTGGAGTGTAGTCATTGTGAACTTCGTACACTGGCAGTCGTAACTTACATGATAGACTAAATCACGTGGTTGCTAAGTGACAGCTTTTCCTCATTCTTGACCTTAGTGGAGGTATTCAACCTCTGGACTTAAGATAATTTTATTTATTCATTTGCCAATTAGAAAGGCAGATGGATGTAGAGAAGGAAAGACAGGGAAATCTTTCGCTGTAGGTTCACTCCCCACAAATGGCTGCAGCAGCCAGGACTGTGCCATGCTAAAGTCAGAAGGCAGGAACTCCATCTAGGAGTTCCAGATGGGTGCAGGGGTCCTGCTAACTGGGCCCTTCTCTGCTGCTTTCCCAGGCACATTAGCAGGGCGCTGAGTCAGAAATGGAGCAGCCAGGACAGGAACCAGCGCTCATATATGATGCTGGCATCACAGGTGGTAACTTAACCCACTGTTCCACAGCACTGGCCCTGAATAATATCTTTATCTCCTAATAAGATGTGACTCTTTAAAGAGTCCCAGGTTTGCAAATATGTTTTCTGTGTATGGACAAAGTTAGGAAGATTTACACTTTCTCTACTAATATTTAGAACTTCTTATTACTTACAAAGAAGAATTTCCCATCTAGGAAATAAAGCTGGTGAATTTAGTAAGAACTCTTTCTTATAAGAGTAAAAGGATATTTTTTTTAAAAAATTGAAAGAGCTTTTCATTGAGAAAAAATGATCATGCCTTTTAGTGTATTGATGTTGTGTTATCCATAGTATTATTCATAGTTCTTTTTATTCATAGCATTTCTTATGGCTTTTTCATTCATGTATTCATGTACAGTATCTACTTGTAGTATTTATCCATAGTATTTCCTGTGGCTTTTATGATATGTAGTCATTTTATATACAAATAAATGATATCCTTTTGATTTTTACTTTTCATCTTTTACCTGAACCATTTAAGTGGATCTGATGGCTGTTTTCTTGAACAGCCTAGGGTTTTGTGGTTCTTCTTGAACCTGGGAGTTAGTAGCATACTAAGTAAAAGAGAGAGAAGGAGGTAGCTGGTAGAGTGTATTACCCCAAGTAATAAGGGCGGTGATGCTTTTCTGCTTAAGGAATGAAGGGCATACTCAACCGTGACATTCAGTCCTTTCTTTCTTTCTTTTTTTTTTTTTTTTTTTGACAGGCAGAGTGGACAGTAAGAGAGAGACAGAGAGAAAGGTCTTCCTTTTCCTTTGATTCACCCCCCCAGTGGCCGCTGCGGCCAGCACACCGAAGGCAGGAGCCAGGTACTTCTCCTGGTCTCCCATGGGGTGCAGGGCCCAAGCACTTGGACCATCCTCCACTGCATTCCTGGGCCACAGCAGAGAGCTGGACAGAAACAGGAGCGACCGGGACAGAACCGGCGCCCCGACCGGGACTAGAACCCAGGGTGCCGGCGCCGCAGGTGGAGGATTAGCCTAGTGAGCCGCGGCGCTGGCCCCTTTCTTTTTCTTTCTAGAAGATAGAAAATACGTAATGTAAGAGCAGTAGGAAGGGAAGCTGGTCGCTTAAACTCTCAGGATGTGGGTGGGGAGGAGGAATCACAGTAAATGACCTTGGAGAAAAGGTAACTGGATTTATATTGTCTTGATGAAACGTGTATTTTTGCACACATACCCGCCCCCCAAATCTGCCTTGGTTGATGGATTTGCCTGTGCCCGAGTTTTGTTCAGCTCTGCACTGTGGCACAAAGGATAAAAGCCTGTTCTCTGGCCAGGGCGTTGCTCCACTGTCTCCTGGTTTACTCCATCTTGTATTTGCAGGTCTGTGGCTGTCCTCTGTACTGGAAAGCGCCCATGTTCAGGGCTGCAGGGGGAGAGAAGACAGGGTTTGTGTCAGCACAGTCCTTCATTGCCATGTGGAGAAGGTAAGTGTGCAGCCAGCACTCGGGGGCTCGACAAAGAATTGTGGGACACACTTTCCAGAGGGCACTGATGTTCCTCATCTGTTCATTTTCTCTTCACCCTTTGTGTCAATAGGACAGTTAGTGATCACAACCATTTATACTCACACACAGTTTCTTGCCATTAGCCTTTATCCTACATGTCTTTTAAAACAGTGAAAAAAAGTCTGCAAAAATGCCTCATTAGTAGCTATTTGATAGTTTCTTAGTTTTACTTGTTCAATTTTAGCCTTAGGATTCAAATCTGACAGCAGTGACATCAGAGTGAATAAGGACTCTCCTGTGAAGGGGAGCAGCCACATACATCACATGAAAAATACAATTCCATTCTCATGATCTAATTTAGAATTATATTTAATTGACTTATCAAAAATAGCTGAATTCGAATAGATTTCATCATTACTCTTTGAAAGTTCTAGTTAAGGGCAAAGGACTAGTATATTCATCAAAGTATTCCTGGGTTTTACAGCCTGACAAATTTTCTGGAATCCAAAGTTGTTCTTTTCTTTTGTTCTCCCTTTTTTCTTCTTTACAGGTTTTTTCCTTTTTTTTTTTTTTTTTTTGAAGATTTATTTATCTATTTGAAAGTCAGAGAAAGAGAGGCAGAGAGAGAGAGAGGAGAGAGAGGTCCTCCATCCACTGGTTCACTCCCCAGTTGGCCGCAACAGTCAGAGCTACACCAATCCGAAGCCAGGAGCCAGGAGCCTCTTCTGGGTCTCCCATGTGGATGCAGGGACCCAAGGACTTGGGCCATCTTTTACTGCTTTCCCAGGCCATAGCAGAGAGCTGCATCGGAAGAGGAGCAGCCAGGACTAGAACCGGCGCCCATATGGGATGCCGGAGCTTCAGGCCAGGGTGTTAACCTGCTGCGCCACAGCGCTGGCCCCCAGATTTTTTCTTAATATTTACATATTTTAGGAGAATGTCACTACTTGCCCTCTTTTTTGAAAAATTATTCATTTATTTGAAAGGTAGAATTAGTGAGAGGCAGAGAGAGAGAAAGAGAGAAATCTTCCATCCGCTGGTTCACTCCTCAAATAGCCACAAGGGCCAGAGCTGGGCTGATCCAAAGCCAGGAGTCAGGAGCTTCTTCTGGGTCTCCTACCTGGATGCAGAGGCCCAAGCACTTGGGCCGTCTTCCACTGCTTTCCCAGGTGCATTAGCAAGGAGCTGCATTGGAAGTGGAGCAGTCAGGAGCTGAACCAGCATCCCACAGTGCTGGCCCCCCCAGCTTGCCCCTTCTATTTCTGTGAACTGATCAGGCTTCTTTATATATGTTATTCTTTTCTGAGACAGAAATCTTTCCTAGTAGACAACTGGAATATTCCGTTCATCTATCATCATCATCATTATTTAAAACACCATATAATACCAGCAGAATTCAGCTCATAGATTCCTTCCAATCCCTTCATACCACCAGTAAGTACCCTTCGTAGTGTAATTCTTGAGACCATAGTAGGTGATTAATAAATACATTCTTAGTTTTAAAAATCTAGCAGTGGGGCCTGAGCTGTGTAGTGGGTTGGGACTCCAGCTGCAGCACTGGCATCCTGTATGAGCACTGGTTCAAGTCCAGATAATCCACTTCCGATCCAGCTCCCTGCCGATGGCCTGGGAAAGCAGTGGAGGATGGCCCAGGTGCTTGAGCCCCAGCACCCATGTGGGAGAACCAGTAGAAGCTCCTGGCTTCAGATTGGCCTAGCTCTGGCCTTTGTGACCATCTGGAGGGTGAAGCAGTAGATGGAAGATCTCTCTCTGTGTGTCTTTCCCTCTCTCTGTCTGCCTCTCAAATAAATAAATTTAAGAAAAATAAAATCTAGCAGCAAGTTGAGTTCACATTCTTCCTCATGCATCACATTAAAACTAAAGTAGTCATGGTATTTAAGACTCTACCTGTTAATGGACTTCCAAAAACAAAAAGTGTTAAGTGCTTCGTGGTGTTCATGTGGATTTTAGCCATTTTGTTCAGGGAACAGTTCTAAACTTTCCAGGTATCAGGAATTTGAAAAAACCTTGGAGAATCACTCCTTATTACACCATCTGAACGATACGCAAAGGCTGGTTCCATGGTCAGTGTTTCATCTGTACTGAAGCAAAGAGAAAGCTGTCTAATAAAATATGCAAAGTGGTTTTTTTTTTAATGTTTGGATAAGCTGTTACAAAAGTGAGGGAGTTCCTTGGAGCCTAGAAATAGAAAAACAGCACTAATTAGCAAGAGTAAACTAACAAAGCAACTGGCATTTGCCCCTGCAGTATTTTTCATTGGCATTTCTGGCAGCCTAGAACATGGAGAAAGAGAATAAAAGCCTGGGACCTGAACAGCAGGGGAGTTTTGTTTTTTGTTCTTTTGTTTTTAAGTTGGCATACAATAAAAGCAGCATTCAAGAACTTAAGATGGACAGATGTTCCAGCTTCCACTCAGCTAGGTTCTTTTACCCTGACAATGAAGAGGCCTCAGATGGAGTCTGAACAAGGAGTGAAAAGGATTGAGAGCTGAGGTGGGCATTTGATGTAGTGGTTAAGATGTCAGGACACTGCATCCCACGTCAGAGTGCCTGGGTTGGTGTCCCAACTCTGCTGTCTATTCCATCTTTGTGCTGATGTGTACCTGGGGGGGCAGAAGATGATGGATCAAGTTGTCAGACCCCTGCCACCCCTGTGGGAAATCTTGACTGAGTCCCTGGCTCCTACTTTTAGCCTAACCCAGCCCCAGCCTCAAACTGATTGATTGGTTAGTTAATTAAATTAAGAATTTGTTTATGCAGATTTCATAGCACATATACTCTTTAATAACACTTGACAATAAGTGCTGTTAACAAAGAACAGGGAGATGACACAGCTCTTGTCAGAGATGTCTTCAACCATGAGCTTACCTTTGTTGGCAGAAACCGTTTAAAAAACCTCATAAAGTAGCAAGAAGTAAGTTATGATTGTTTAAAAGAAAAATTGGAACAAGCTGGGAGATAGCAAAAAAAGACATAGTGTATTATAGGAAACACTGGAGCTGGAGAGAAGAAATACAGCTGCTTATATTCTATTTTGAATATTCTAGGACCCTAAGTTTATGTACCTGTGTGTGTATATAGCAAGGGAAAACTGGTATCCAATTTAATCTTAAGAATAACTGCTTAATCTTAAGAATAACAATCAAGGCTTTGGTTAAGGTCATGTGTCACTCAGGAAACGTGGACACTTACACTGATGGCTGGAGCAACACAGTGGCAGCAGCTCCCAAAAGCTGTATTCCTTTTCCGAGATGAATCATTGCAATTTTATCTGTAAGCAAAAATGATTTCTACAAAAAGCAAAAGGGAAAGAAAAAAGACATGATGGACAAATATCCATCTTGGGTAACTATGGGAAGCTGCTTATGAAGATGCATGGCATGAGCTCTGTCCTTATCTTTTTTCATTAAAAAATTAGATAGACTTGAAATGTGTGTGTATGTGTGTAGTAAAGTGCTACCTTGTGGTCAGATACTAAAATGGTTTGAGTGCCCTCTAGTGGGGACTCCTTTTTGAGCTCTCAAAATATCTTAAAAGCCAGGGTGCTTTAAGAGAGACCTGAGTGTGGCTCTTTTGGAAGACTAAGCAGCTAAGCCTGATTCTTCCATGTGCTGAGAGTTTAATTTGGTGATTTCTTATACACTGCCCCCTTTGCATATAGCAATTTGTGCTCAGTATATTAAATAAACTTTCAAGTACAAAAAGCTAGCTAGCTAACAGGGAGTGTGCAGAATTAAAACATTTCGGCATATACATATGCATGTGGACTTGCTCCAATAACAGCAATAACAAGTTTTATATAATCTTGAAAATAAATCAAAAATACAAAAATCACAAGCATGAAGGGAAATACTCTCTCTCCTGACAGAGTGCTCATATGAGTTGGAGGCTTCAGTCTAGTTTCTGTGGTTTAAGAATGAACACCTTGAAGTTCTCTCTCCCTGCCTCTTCTGGTCCCCGTCCTGCTAAGCTGATATCTGTGCTCCAGTACCTGTTTTTCTTGCAGGCAGGACACTTACGGGAAAGACACTGCTTCACAGCCTTTTTGCTTCCATTCCTGGAGTACCAGCTTTTAGGCGCAACTCCTCTCAGGCAGAATCAAGAAGACTCGGCTTTGTTTTATGCTTTCCTTTCTTTCACTTTTTAATATCAATGTGTCGTTTGTCTATTAACAGCACAATATTTTGTGTGTTAAAAGTTCTGTAAAAATAGCTATGCTTACCATCATTCTCTCTGTTTTATAACTTTTACTATCTCTCTTTCTCCTGCTGTGTAGAGTTTATCAGCTAGTAGCATTGGCAGAAAAACAATCATAATTCACATTGTATCTCTGTTTCATACTTGTGATTTTAAAAGGCCATTCCCGATTTGACTTTGTCCTGTCAGTGTCTCTCAGAATATCATCTGTCATATCTCTGCTGTTTTTATTTAATAGTGCTCTCCTTTTTACTAAAAGCACTTGTATTAGTGAGCTTTTCATTACTACAACAAAACATGTGATGCAGCTAACTTTGTAAAGAGGAAAGGTTTATTAAAAGTTCGAACGTTCAAGTCTAAGATCAGACAGCCCTATTGGTTTGACCTTTGATGAAGGCAGATGCAGCGTCACAGGATGAGCTAAGAAACCGAGCAAGAGATGGACAGACTGAGTCCAGTTTGGGCTTTCATAACAACTCCCTCATGAGTACCACCTCATGAGGGACTCTGCTAATTATGTAAGGACTTCCACCAGCTCCACCTCCCAAAAACATAATTGGATTAAATTTCCATCTTCTTACAACATCAACTTAGGACTTTGAGGTTTAAGGTCATTCATGGGAACCAAATCATGTTGAAATTATAGCATTCCATATGCCCCTCATAAGCAGGAAGCAGCTATAGAAGATGTGATTATTCTAGGCCCTTAGGATTAAGGGCAAGAATCTCTCTGAGAGGGGAATGATGTAGGCAGGCAGATAG